TTAGGTTAAGAGCACAGTGAATATTATTAAGCTTTGGTTTCCATGGTGATTTTATGGTCTGTTTAGTTTTCTTTAATTCTCCTATTTCATTTATATTTCTGTTTAGTTACTGATATACATTAGATATGCCTGTAATTCCTTGTAAACAGTGCTGTATTACTCCTTTATATGTGGAAACATTTTTGATGTAGTCTATAAATGTTAGTGAATGACTTTCAAAATAAAGAAAAATAAATGTCAAACATCATCATAGAGACAAAATGAAAGGACAAATGAACAAACCTATATGATGTTGTTTTAATAAGTGTGATGTCCTGGTGTCCCTGCTATTTGTTTTCCTGGTCTACATATGAACTGTTGAGGTTTTCTGTGTGAGGAGGACCAACGTTGCTGCTATAAGGCTTCATATTTTCTAGAAAAGGCTTCATGCAATATGTTCACAGTGTCTCATGTTTGAGCACAGACGTCTACTGAATGTCACAGCAGCCAGTTTAAACAGGGACATCAGGCTGAAGGTCAGATCTTTGATTTTTGACATTGCTGTGTATTTTACCTAAAATAAAATATGTAGTTTTCTTTTCTTCTGGTTTTAAGTGGACTGAAAAGGAATGGGAGGATGTCAGATTGCACCATCAGGATTAAGATATGTTTAATTCACTGTGAGGAATGGCCTCTGACACTAAGCCCTGGGCACGACACCTCTAACAGTGTTTTCTTTGGTCAGTATTTCACTAGGTCCTTACATGCCTGCTCAAATGAACTGTTTGACAAAGGTGTACACTCTGATCTCTCAAAAAACTTTGCTGTCTGCTTGTAATACCTTTTTGTTTTTTTCAATCTTCCAAAAATGCTATACTAAGCTCGAGTGTTTCTCTGCTCTCTTCCCAAATTTATTGATCTTTCAAGTTGTCATCCTTGAAATCACAGCCCAGTTTTGGTACCATTAACTGTTTGAAATATTTTTTCTTCAATAATCATTTAGTGTCTTTACATCCAGTAAAAAGAAAAGAAGCCAGTCTTTTAGCCTCACCTTTTCTTTTCTACATCTGTATCAGAGCTGTACTAAGTTACTGCTGATGTAACATGGGCCAGCTTCCATAGTGCAGCAGCCACAAAAAGAGCAATATATTGCTGATGATCTCTGAGTGTGATTGGTTGCTAAAAATATATCGACAACAAAGAGACATACAAGCAAATCTTGTTTTATATCTTTAGGAGCCAGAACCAGTCAGACAGGTTAGATCAGTAAGATGAAAAGAAACTTTTGGCGCACAAAAACTAAAAGATGACAACAGAATTTAATGAATTCTATTATGCTGTTGTAGAAAAGAGACTATGTGAAAGTAAAGCAAATACATACTGATATACCTTGGTTTCTCATTTTAAAATGAATATTAGTAATTATTTGATGCAACTAGTACAGGTACAGTTATCATTGTAGTTATTGTGGTGACTACAGAAGGAGAGCCATACCTGGCTAGTCAGATTATTCATTAGAATGGTCACATTCATATCCATTAGCACATTCATGTTACTGCTGCAAATATCATGCAGTGAAATTGAATAATATTCTAGAGAATGTTATGAATATAAGTAATTAGTGACGTTAATTCATGTACGTAAATGTGCACAACTCTCTTTGGAGATGCTTGTAGGGATCCTGCTGCTGTTTTCAGAGGACAAACTTCTGCAAACAGCTGGAAGCAACAAACTAAACTGCAGCTCCTGTTAACACTTTGAGGTGTATGTGCACCTCGGTCAACTCAAGGTGCAAGCTCTATCTTTGGCTCTCTCTGTGATGTTTATAGATGGGAAAGCTAAGTTTCAGTGAGTGAACTTGGCCCACTAGGGGCACCACTGGGTACAAGTTGTAAAATAATAAGTTGCTAAGTTTTAGGAATGTACCTGTCTCTCTGCCTGACTGCTGTAACAACTACTAAAAGGCTTCAGCATTCACAAATAACAAGAAAGGATGCAGGTATTGCTTGGACCAGGTAGTTTCTCATCAGGGCTCCTCTGGTCCACTACAGCACAGGACTGTGTGTTTGGGTCACCAACAAATATTGCAAAAAATAAACTAGAATGCAACATGGTATGATACAACAACCAGTGTGCAGGCAGTATGGATCCTGCCGCTGTGTGAGGCTGTAGCTGGTTAATGAAGTTGAAGAAAAAAAAGGCTGTTAGAATTGTGAGGGATGACAGAGAGGGGTCGCTGCCCTCTGTGGGTAAGAGTAGGGACAGTTTCCTCCCTATAAACGGCCAGGTGGCAGTAATCAGGGCCTCTTTGTCTGGATCCTGGTTGAGGTACGGTTGAAATGTTTGGTGTGCAGATGTAGTTTAGCTGTGTCCTGGTGATGATTCATGTCCTGTAGCTTTCTGTTGATGAGCTTGTGTCTGTTTGCAGGGCCAGATAGCCAACCAACTGTCCATATGGGTGCCTCCTTTAACTAGAACCTCTGACGGAGAAAGATTAAGCACTGGACTGCTGTTTTGCCTCGACCAGTGTGTCTGTACTACCAGGCCTGGATCACTGGTGGCAAGCTAAATTCGACTGTATCGAGTGAACTGAACCAACTTAAATTAACTTTGTGTTATAGACCGTGGTATTTTGGAGGATTCACCTCCTTGCATGCAGCATGGCAGGCCTAATGTAGGTGGTCTCTTGAGTGTGTTTTATATTTGCTCCTCCTTGCAGTGTAGTTTGCAGTTTAAATTGAAATCTCAGTTGTCAAAGTGTGCTCACGTGGTGATGGCGATTGGGGTACGTGATGGTATCTCCCCGTGGTAAGTTCCCTGTTTTTAATATTTTCAAATACACTTTTATTCTGGAGTTGCCTTGTAGTTATTCATTGCTTTAAATTATTAGTCACGAATAAAAGTCTGTTTTAAACTTATTATGGTTGCTTCTCTTTGGTACTCCAGCAACATAAAATTTTCTTAAATTTTGTTTTGTGAACCGAATGCACGTCTCTTGCTCCCGTTGAACCTCTTAAAATTTGTTTTGTGGCAATACGTGTAAAGTTGGGATCTGCTACCTGTTGGTTTATTGAGACATATGTTCATTCTGACTGTGTAGCGCCGCAGAATAAAAGCAGATTTAAAGAGTTCGACTTGGTATGTGAAACTGAAGCTGAGCACCAGCAGGGTGTAATCTGAGAGGCAGGAGGGCGGCGCTCCTTTCAGTATGCTCTGGCACACTGGTAGCTGGTGTTAAGTGACACATTTGTTTTTAATAGTTGTAAGACTGACTACATGCAGCAGTCGTGTGTGCAGTACAGTTTAGCTGAATGAGTGTTGTGTTGAAGCTGCTGTATTCTCGAGTTGTGCTTACAACTAGCTACAAAATACTGCAAAGATGGTCCAATTCACCATGACTGTGTAACCCCTGAGGGCTATGCTGTCAAAGCAAGATTAATGAGTTAGTATGCAATGTTGAGCCTAAAGTCAAAGTTTTCAATGTCATGAAGTTGGCTCTCTAAATCACCATGGCAACTTATGTGGCAGAGCTCACCTGGTCCAGGTTATGTTTCCAATTTTGGATTTAAATCAGCTGTAATTCCGCATTTCACCAGTTCTTTTCCTGGCACGATGCTACATTTATAAACCTGTTGAGCTGCATGTTACCATTGGCACTAAAGGAACTCATGCAGTTACAGTATTGCACACTGCATGTGTTACGTTGTCATGGAAACCTACATACATTTAGTTGGTGATGTAGAAATCACATAAATCTGTTTGATTCTGATTTGCTGCTAAATCCATTTACAGTGCAGCTGATAGAACACAGATTAGAAAGCATTCCACTGGTATTTACACAGAGAACATCCAATCAATAACACTGATTTCACATTGATTTGGCCAAAAACTAAAGGGGTTTAATGTGTTCCTTCATTATGGGACAGTGTTGGAAAAGCATATTTCAGCTCTGTCCACTCCAGATATCTCCATCTAAAGGCAAAATCTAGTTTTCGTTCAGCACATTTTTTTCTGTAACCAACTCAATATCATGGGATATGTCATAAAAAAATAACTACATTTTCCACCCACCCCTATGTACTTTAAGGGCTGGTAGCGTTACTGTTTAATACATTTTGCATGGCTTCATTAAATATACCTAAATTATCCTACATAAAAATCAGCTGCTTTGGAGGAAGGCACTGAGTGTGTTTTGTTTTTGTTTGTTTGTTTGTTTTTAAGCTTGGATTTATTTACATAGAGAGAGAGAGAGACTGACTTAGTGAGCCTGTAATTCCACAAAGCTAAGACAGAAATCTAAAGTCAATACAAAGAAATCTGCAAAATGCACGAGGTTGTATTCAAAGCTGAGAGAAATAAAGATTAGCAGTTGGAGAGACATCCAGTGGATCTTAAACATCTGTTTTGTCGTGTTAAAGACGTGATCCTGTCTCTTAAAAAAACAAACACCTGGACGGGGACAGAGCAGGTGGGATTCAAACTTCACATCAGTGGAGGTGCTGTTTTCACCCCATAAAATACTTTGTTTCCAGCAGCAGTCCGGCACCGAAACGGACACAGGAGACGCTTCGAAAAGCTGGAAAGCCTGGTGCGTCATTGCGCAGTCAAATCTCAACAGCCAGACAGGAGACTGATATTTTAAATATCTGCGGGACTTTCCGAGGATGTCATATGCGTTGCCAGTCGCAAACATACGTCCATAAACTCGCTTCGAGATCACACAAAAAATGGTAAGGTCCAAGTCCAGAACCGCTTCAGGACTCGTCACGTTTAAGGTTGTCTTCAGTGTCCTAGTCATTGTGTGATAGCTGTCAGTACGCTACTTACACATATCAAAAAGGAAACCCTAGCGGTGAATTCGGCGTACTTAGTTGTCCAAAATGTGCTTTTTGTAAAAGCATTTCACTTTGCTGTCGAAATGTGTTGACGCAGCTGATACATTGCAGAACAGGAATCAGCCTTTCACAAGGTGTCGCTGCTGTGAATTCACCAACACACACTCAGAGCTTTGCTTAGGTTTCATTTCCTCCGAATGACCACCGAGTGTCTTCCTCCTCTCGAGCTTGTCTCCTCTGCGGATGTAAAACTCTCTCTCCGTCTTTTCCCGTCACATCGGTCCTGCTTTAGGAAGCTCAGCATTAAACTGCGACGAGAGTCCTCGAGGAAATGTGTCCCCAAATGGTAAGTGTTGTCTGTGTTTACGTTGGTGCTAATGGGGATCCTCATAAACGAAACCAAACTACTTCTTGGTCATCAGTGTGAAAGAGTCAAATCATCTTAAATGGAAAAAATACAAAATCTTCAGTTTAATGATGCAGCCTGAAAACCCACATCCTGAATGTGTTTTTGTTCTTGCACGACTTGGAAAGTTCTTGATTTGTGTAATCTCTACATGTTTCAGAGTTGAGGTTACTGTTTCCACTGTGAACCTACCACACCCTTAATCAGGTATCAGGTACAGAATTCTAGTTACATGTAGTCCATGGGCCAGGCCAGGTGTTGGTACCATCTCAGGTGACCAAACCTAAGTGGTACTAAAATGTACATTGAGTTAATATCAGTAAGATGTGATCGCCTTTCCACACTGGCAGCTTTATCACTTATTTGTGAAACCGTCACATTCACCATATCCGCGGTATTGCACATTTCATTTAACCCTCTGAGGCCCACAGTTGCAAAATTGCAGCATTTATGTAAAGCTGTCCAGCTGTACCTGTTTCTGACCGAATGTAGACAAAGACTACATATCCCAGCACCCCACACTGTCAACTGGGAAAGTAGAATACTGTGAGACATACCACATTTTCAATTGCCCCCCAAGCTCTCTCTTTTGGAACAATTTCAACAGCTCTGTCCACTCCAGATATCTCAATCCAAAGGCAAAATCTAGTTTTCTTTCAGCACATTTTTTTCTGTAACCAACTCAATATCATGGGATATGTCATAAAAAAATAACTACATTTTCCACCCACTCCTATGTACTTTAAGGGCTGGTAACGTTACTGTTTAATACATTTTGCATGGCTTCATTAAATATACTTAAATTATCCTACATAAAAATCAGCTGCTTTGGAGGGAGGCACTGAGTGTTTTTTTTTGTTTGTTTTTTTTAAGCTTGGATTTATTTACATAGAGAGAGAGACTGGCTTTACACAATTTCAACAGTTTTCCGAATAACTATTTGACCTGTAGTATTTTTTTTTTCCTTCATCCTAAAGATGTTTAGTGACAGACAACTCAAATTATTTTTTTAAAAAGTTGTCAAGTGGAGTCAAGCTTTGAGATCCCAGAAGCAGCCACTAACAAAGAACACTGGCTCTGAGTGAGCAATATAAAAGACTCTATGATCAGAAATGCTGTGCTGTAACCATGATGATTGAGAAAGTAAATTTGAAATAATGATTCTTAAAATATATTATGTGATTTAAACCAATGATTTATACCGTCTAACTGAGCTAAGATGATTTTTTGTAATCTTGATTTAAGAGCACATGAATGAAGGTGAAGAAGTTTATGTTAAAAGAGCAAATAAGGTGAGTGTCCCTAAGACAGATAGGTCATATGAGGACACTAGTCACAGAGTGATCGCAGAATGAACTCAATGTTAAAGAAGTTGATGGTTCCTCTTTTGGTAAACAGTATCTGTTAAAAAGCGGAACTAGGTGTTGGGCTGAAAGATGAAACTTTTCGTGACTAAGGATATAGAGTTAGCGGCAGCTAGAAATGTGTGTGTGTAATAATGAGTATGTGGTAAGAATAAATGGTTACTGAGCGTTGGGGAGAGAGCCAGGGTATAAAAATACATGACAGAGCAATATTTGTCGGAGATCGCCTCAGACGGAGGAAATTGTGGCTGCCGTTCTGACCAGAAGACCGGAGGATGCTTGCGGGACTTAGATGAAAATCAAAGTTCTTATAACAGTCTTCGGTTGACTAAGTGCGCTTTGGAGAAGTTGCGACGGAGCTGTGGCTTCACTGAAGAGGAGCGGCAGAACCCTTTTCTGTGTTCTGCCAGAAGAAAAGACTTTTCTTCCTTCCCAAATTGGACACAAAAATCAACTGCAGTTCTGATCAGAGTTGGGACTTCTCATCTCCCCCTGACTGGAGGACTTTGCCTGTGAAACGGGACCTTGTACTGGGTTGCTGCGTCACTGGAGGATGCTCTCTCCAAGCTCAGGTCAGACGGAGCTGAGTTGATCAGCCAAGGCCAGGTTGTTCAGCTCTCTCCCTCTCTGAATTAATTATTAGGTCATTGTTTTTAGTTAAAGTAAAGCTCAGTTTTATAATCTTAACATCGGCCTACACCCATTTTGGTGTCTGGGTTTCTTCAACTGATTTTGGACGTTTGCAATGTGCTGAATCCAGGTATAACTTTTGATTTTGCTCAATATGGTCAAAATTAGGATTTGATAAGAGATGCAATTTATCTTTGTTCACCTGTATGGTTGTGCTCATCAACTTTTGAATCATGAAATTTTACTTCTAAACTCAGATTTCATATGAGAAGTACTAAAATAAGTAAATCACTAATTCTAAGAATGTAATTGATTTTGTGGCAGATTCTATGTGTCAAAATTGAGTTGGCATAAAAACCGGACTTGTTGCAGAGAGACGGATGTTGGTTTTGGATTCGGCGTTGCAAAATTGTCTTGGATCGGTTGGAAAAGCCTAAACTAAAATATTTTTTAATTACTTATGTCGTAAAAAGATTATTTTAATCAATTAGTTTAATCAAATGTTGAAATATTGTTGAATGAATAATCAAGAGCTGTTGCTTTGCCCCTGCTAAAGATTCGCAATAAATATTTAATCTTACATTTGAAGTTTATTTGGTTTAAAATTTTATTAAGTCATTTACAGTATCTGGTGGTAGTAAAAAGTTAGGTGATTGTGTGCATAAGATCTTATAGTGGTTCTTAATGGTTATTCTAAGTCAAAAGAGAAATGGTATTTTTAAACAGATGCCTGAGGTTAGTTATGCCAACCCTCTAAATCTAACCTAGCAACTTACCAAGTGCTTGATCCATTAAGATGAAAGCTGCCACTAACAGGCGTGTCTAATAGAGTGATTTGACTACTGAGGCTACTTAGTTGAGTCAACTATTAGAGGAAGCGGGGTAGACGTCTGGACTAAGGCAGTTAGAAGCTAGGTGAGTTTCCTCGACACCAGCTAAAGCAATTCTATAGAATCCTATTAGTTCAAGGGCCTGTAGGCAGTTAGAGCTTAACCCTAGTAACGGAGAGCTGGACCAGTGGCCCTGTACAGGGCTATACTGTACCGGCGCGGATCAATAAAGTATAATACATGTGATTATTAGGGATTTCTCTCAATGTTACACAAATGCAACACTGGGCTTTAATGGGTGCTGCTTATTTGCACAGAAGTAAATTCATCAATTGTGCAATATTGCAATATGCAGTGTCCAGACTCTGTGTGTGTGTGTGTGTGTGTGTGTGTGTGTGTATATATATACACACACACACACTATGGGGTTAAGGTTTAAAGGTTGACCCCATTAATTTTGTATAGGATTAACAGGTACTGCACATCAACTGCATGCAACAAGTGTGATGTTGGTTTGTGCATCAAATGCTGATGTGTAGCTTGTGACGTTTCTTATTTTTTTGTAATGACGAAAAATCCTATCGAATTCAGTCTTGTTGCATTGATGGGACGTTTGGCTCAGACCCTGCTCCTTTCATCGTGGGGCATGTCCATGAGACGACTGATAACATATATAGAGCTGTGAGTCTGCAAGGGCTACCGTATCAAAATGCAAACTAGAGACATAGCAAGTTAAAAATACCAAAAAGAATTGGTCACCTCCGGTGGTACCAACACTGGAAATTTTTGGTCGGGGCCCATGGACTAATTTGGGTGGGTTGTCTGAAACAATGGGCCTCTCTATTGGCTGATTATGACGACAAACTGAGCAGCATTTAAATCATAGGTGTGGTAGCAGAGCTGCACTTATGACTGCACCAGCTACTAATAAGCTATAACACAGACAAATTTTTTTGGGCTGTGAGCACAAGATTGACTGTAGGCCTTACCTGACATTGAGGTGAGCTGGGTAGTTTCCTGCTGTTGCTCCACTCCCGTCTGTCATGTTGTGAAACTGTTTGGTTGGCCACAGTCTGTTTTACTTAGCAATAGCAACTAATTACTTCGGGGGATAATGTCATCAGTCATTTCACATAATTGGCCTCCATCAATGGAATTGTGTTTGCAGTAGCATGTCGGACTCCTTTACTCCGCTTGCCTTGGCATCTTACAGTATATCAAAGTAAGTACATCTCTGTGCAATATCACCTAAAAGTCACAGTAGTCACGCAGTAATCAGGAAGTGTAGAATAAGCCATAGTACCACTAATCAGAGCTGTAGTGGTCATCGTCTTGATGGCAATGACAGTGCACTTCTGGAAAAACAGACAGGCAAGTGCTTCAGATTTGGCACGAAGGTTATCAGTGGAAGTTGCATAATGTCAGCCTCTACCAACAGTGTCCAATAAAACAAAACAAAAAAAAAACACCCTTATGGACTCTTAGGGGCAACATTACAAAACAAAACTTTGCTAAGTAACTTTAGTATTATATATACTGATAAATATTGGGTGCATATTCTTCAGTCAGATGAGACCAAGATGATTATGTTTGGTACCGATGGGGTCCAGCATGTTTGGCCAGGACTACAACAGTGAACAGTCATGAGTGTGGAGAGACTGGTGTTACAGCATGTCAAGGCCCATATTCCACCAGGCTTTGACCAACAACAGTTTGCCTACGGTTAGAACAGATCTACAGACACCATCTCCATTGCCCTATATACCGCTCTTAACCACATTGAACGGCCCAATACATACGTCAGGATGCTGTTCGTTGACTTCAGTTCTGCATTTACCTCCATCAGCCCCAGCCGGCTGATCAACAAACTGCAAACACTACAACTTGGAGTCTTCCTCGGTCTGTAGATCAAAGACTTTCTGACCAACAGACCCCAGCATGTCAGAAAGGGCACATCCTCCACCATCGTCCTCAACACAGGTGTTCCTCAGGGCTGTGTCCTGAGTCCAGTCCTTTACACACTGTACACCCATGACTGTGTTGCCACCCACAGCTCCAACACCCTTATCAAATTTGCGGATGACACAACCATCGCGGGGTTGATCAGCAACAACGAGGCACCATACAGGGAGGAGGTCCAAGCACTGGCGGCCTGGTGCAGTGACAACCACCCCAACCTCAACACCACGAAGACAAATGAAGTCATCACAGACTTTCAGAAGTCAAAGACCACGTTGCACTCAGGCCCGAGCATCAATGGGGAAGAAGTGGAGCGGGTTATGAACTTTAAGTTTTTTGGAATGCACATCTCAGAGAATCTGGGCTGGACTGTGAACACCACCCACATTGTCAACAAGGCCCAGCAGCGCCTCTTCTTTCTCAGAATGCTGAGGAGGAACAAACTCCCTCCACCTCTGCTGAAACACTTTTACCGCTGCACAATAGAGAGCGTCCTGTCTTATGGATGTATCGTGTGATATGGCAGCTGCATGGCATTGGAGAGGAAACCACTTCAGTGGGTCATCAAGTGGATCAGTGCATCATTGGCTCCCCACTCCCACACCTAGAGGAGATCTACTTGAGTTGTCTCCTCCCGATGGGCTAGGGTTAGTCTCCTCCGAAGATCTGGAATGACCCTGCCCACCTGGGACATTCTATTTGCACCCTCCCCTCTGGCAGACTCAGTCACCAACAGACTAAAACAGCTTTTTCCCCATGGCTGTAAAGAGACTGCTGCTGGAACCATGACACTCCCAGTTTACGGCTCATTCTAACAAATGCTCTTTTGCACTTTTAATAGAGTATTATGTTATATTTCATTGCTGTTTTACTATGTATATCATCTTTAACTTTTTTTTCTTCTTGTGACCTTATTAGCTGCTGCAAAGATGATGCCAAACGAAATTTCATTGTATTTCTTGTATGATGACAAAGTGTTAACCCGATTCTTTAGTTGGAAGCCCAAGAACAAACCGGAGAAATCTTCAGTTCACAGATGTAGAATTTATTGAGGTCACAGGTAAAGTGAGGCAGCACTCTGGGCTCGGAGTGACATGGCTCTTGCGAGAGCTCTATCAGAAGGAGCCCCAATATCCAGAAATGAATCACATTTATCTTCTTGGACTGGGCCTGCCCCGAACAGAGGTTGGACTCGTACAGTCTAACCACTGTTCACTGGAATGTAAACAGGAACTGCTTGGATTGAATACAAAGTGTGTGTGTGTGTTGTCCAAAAGATGTGTATCTGAAGTAGCTGATAGAATAGACGAGTTTCCGCTGTATGTAAACCAGTTCTAACCGCCCATGTTGTCTTCAAGGACGGACATTCTGCTCAGTTGAAAAGTGCAAAACAGCATCAGAGGTTCAGTGGAGAAATACAGATTCAGAATACATGATAACTCGAAACATAGCCAGTTATAACAAAAGTTTTGTCTTGTGATGAGAGTGAAGCACCAAGGTGAGAGTGTGATGATTTGGGGCTGCATGAAAGCAAAACATGTTGCAGAGATGACATTTATAGATGAGTCAGTACAGGATGAATCAGCAAGACTCATCTTGGACTAGCTGACAAGATGAGTCCCAGTCTGCAAAATCTTGGCAGAAAAGTAATCTTACCAAAGTCACACAAGAGTTTCTAATGAAGAACAAAGTGAAAATTATGACCTGGCCAAGTACACAGTTGCTCATAAAGTTGGAATAAAATATATATTTTTACTCTTCTCATGAAATGATTGTGACAATGCCATTTATTCTTGATGGATAAAGTGCATATCTTCTCAAAACTTTTTTGATGTCACAATATGGATACAATACATATCACAGTAAAAATTAAACCACAATTAACTTTTGCAAACTGTGTTTTCAGACTTAATCTAAACTGGAGTTATTGAACAATAGGATTAAGAGTTTTGTTTTAATTTTTCAACCTTCGTCCCTTTAACAGGAAACACATATTCGAGGGGATTTCATGCATAAGAGTGTCCATTATTACTCTTTAAATGTCCCTCAGTCACTAATGTTGAGTTTGGCCACCCCTGACACGGATCAATGCGTTCAGACATGGTGGCATACTGTCCACCAGCTGGTTGATGGTGTCAATGGGCAGGACGTCAAACTCTTCAGTCAGATCCCAAAGTCAGAACTGGTTTCACCTGGTAACTGGGAGTCAGTATGTAATGATTGCACCTGGTCACATTGATTACTGATGTGTAGAAATAGAAATTAAAAAGAGGAATGTGTCTGAAAACAAAAATGATTCCAACTTTATGGGCGATGGTGTCACCTGACCTGAATCCAACAGAACACTTTTGGGGTATTTTATAGAGAAAGGCAGAGCAACACAACCCATCCAGCAAAAAGTAACTGAAAAATAGTCAAAATAATGGAACAACATCCATCCATCCATCCATCCATCCATCCATCCATCCATAATCTATATATTGCTTTATCCTCTGTAGGGTCGCAATGGCAGAACATCTCCAAATATCCTCCTCCTGTCTTCAAAAATATAGGTTTACATAGATAGTATTGAATGATAAAAGATTTTAATCTTAGTTGAGACTTCTGTTGCACTGAGTTACTACTATGGATCCTGTATTTTTAATACAGTGAATCTAAACGGTTAGTTTTTGATTTTACAGAACACTAAATACCGTACTGTTTATCTTGGAGGATGCAGTTATTGTAAAGTGATACAATGTAGAGTAATTTGGCAATAAAGTTATGTTGGGCTGTACTCACATCTGTTGTTTTCTGTATAATGTCACACCCTCCTGAGACCGGCAATCAGTTAAGTTAACAAATGACAAATGGTGACCATGAACTAAAAAGCTCCACCAGTAAGACAGCATGCTCTAGACCAAGATCCTGGAACTATTACACCTAGTCAGTACATCAGATTCCTGAATATTATTATGTTACATTTGTGACTGACAAGTCAAAATAGCAAACAGAAAAGGTCTTACTGCCTGAAGTATTGAGGTTCAATACCTACTCCTACATATGCGTAGACATTTGTCTGGTACATCAGTTTAATCATTTTTCTTGTTTCTTTTGCAGCATTGATGATAAAGATTTGTGAAGAGTGAGCCAGCTGTCATGGATAATAAGGAAAAATTAAGGTAAAGCAGAAACCTAAAATTTTCTGTCACTGTCAGCACCACGGCCACTTCTCTGTTGTTAACATCTCTCTTTAAATGACTTTTATAGCATCAGTGATCTACATTTGTAAAGAAGAAACCAGTGCTGTTATGGCAGAGCAAAGTGAAATGAAGGTAAGTAAAAGTTAAAGTATTCAGCATTTTAGGGGAAGATGACTCTATACCATCATTCTTAAACAACAATTAAAGATCAAGCTAACAGAAATTTGTCAAACCTCTTCATTTTTTTATACACTTGAACTTAAGCTCAAGTTGTATCTTATTATACTTAAATACTGAAACATTTAATATGATCATTAAATAACTAACTGCACTAATTAAAGTTGAAAATGAAAAAAAATTAACAGCAATTTTTATTCTAGGGTGCTGAAGAGGATCTGCCACCTCACATCAAGGACTGGAGTAAACATCACGTGAGAGAATGGGCTCGCAAGTTGAATGGTGTGGGTGAAACAGTTGCTGGCAAATTGTTTCAGCAAGACATTTGTGGGCCCAGTCTTTTGCTTTTAAATAGAACAGACTTGAGTGAAATCAATGTAACTTTTGGACCAGCAAAACTTCTCATTCATGCCAGAGATGAGTTAGTGAAAATAATGAAAGAAGAGCCAACAAGCTCCGCAAACCAGCCTGGAAAACCCTGCAAGCCTTATCCATTTTGTAGATACCATGATACATTTAGATACTTGGAGAGCAGCATTCTTGACATTACAGAATCAGGTGCTTCAGACTTGATTGAACCTTGCCATGAGTATAAAGGTTTTTACAATACACCTGATGACGATAAAATGAGCAAATTCACTGCTGAGGTTATTCGCTTTGCAGCTGCCTGCATGAATAGCCGCACCAACGGCACTATTCACTTTGGAATAGGTGACACGCCAGACTTCAGCCATGGTCAAGTGTTGGGAGTGGTTGTTCAGGACAAAGAGGCTTATGCAAAAGAACTAAAAAAGGCCATTGATGGTCATTTTGAGCACAAACACAAAGAGGCTGCTCAAAAGTGCATCAAGCCTCCTCGATTTGTTGAGGTTCTCAATAAGAACATGACATCATCTGACAAATTTGTTATAGAAGTGGACATAGTTCCTGAGTCCACGATCTGTGAAGAAAACCTCTACCACACTTACACTGTAGACACAAGAAAAGCAAGGAAAAAATCCAAAGTTAAAGAAATGGAGTCGCAGCCTTCGAAGTGTTTTCTGGTGCGAGATGGTGGCAGCAGCAGTGATCTTCTCAAACCAACCACATCTGCCAAACCTAAGACAGAGTACAACCAGTTTGTTGACAGTGTGGCTCAGCGATCACAACTCCGAAAAAAAGCAGAAGAGAAGCACCTCAGTGTGATAAAAAGCAGTACTCAGGGTTCAAGATTAAGTCAGATGATAACTGGTGGCTCCTCATCTTTAGATAAGTCACACTTTGAGCAGTATGTGATAGTAACTAACAAATCACATTCAAGCCAGTTTGAATCAATGGGATTTCTTGTAGAACTCAACCCTACAGCTGTCTTGGACTTTGATCCTGAATCAACTAAACATGGATTACAGTGTCACTTTAGCCAGCAGAGCACAGTCAGTGTCCACTTACCAGCACGGTATAAAATCACGGAAGGAGTTGAAGACATTGCAAACAAGTTGAAATTAACTCGAAACACCAGCTGGGTATGCTGCAATGGAGGGATTGAGCACGAGGTGCCCTCAGACATTGACCAGTGGTTGATGGACAAAGGCGCTTCCATCCGAGATGTAATCTCTTTCTTGTGTCGGAAAGATGTGCTTCCAAACAAGAGATTCCTAGTCGTTTTCATACTTTTGTCAACAGTGAGCCAGAAAATGGATCCCCTTGTTGAGACTTTCAGTACATTCTTGCAGGAGCTCAGAGGCACAGATCAAATCCTTTGTATATGTGACAATGAAAATGCCTTTACCTCGTGGAGGGACCTAATTGAGTCTCGGTGTGGAATCAACATCTCAGGTAGATGCATATATGAGCTCAGTTTTGCAGAGGTCAATGGCACTATTCTTAGTCTTTGGTCGAAGAACCGCAGATTGAGCCGTTTCCTACCCTGTGGTGGGGGAAGCAAAGTTCTTCTAGAGAAGAAAGATGAGCGAAGCCTGGATACCTTAGAGATCCTGTGTGTTAACCAATGTGAAGGAGGAAATGAGGACAAAATTGTCATAGAGGAGAACTTCTACAAAGGAGGAAAAGTGTCATGGTGGAATTTCTATTTCTCAGAGCAGCCTGGATCCACACCGTTTATCAAACGAGACAAATTTGACTACATGATGGAAACAGTCTTACCAGACTTGTGCTCCCTGAGAAAAGCCTGTGTGTTGCTCAATCTCATGCATGTACCTGGATGTGGTGGGACAACTTTGGCTATGCATACTTTATGGGCTCACCGGGACAGATTCCGTTGTGCTGTCCTCAGGAACAGCAATGCTGACTTTTCAGAAGCAGCTGATCAAGTGGTCAAACTTTTAATGTATGACCATCAGGAGCAAGTACCAAGGGTCCCTGTGTTGCTGATGATTGATGACTTTGATGAAATGGAAAAAGTATTTGACTTGCAGCAGCTCATTGAAAAAGAATGCGCGCAGAAAAAAGTTAAGTCTAAGTCGGCACAGGTAATTCTCCTGAACTGCATGAGATCGGAGTCCTCAGAACTGCCTGAACCAACTACAGATACAGTGTTCATTGGAAACAATCTTTCAGAGAAGGAACAGAGAATGTTTGAGGAAAAACTTGTAGAAATTGAGAAAACACACAAGAATGCTGACACGTTCTATGGTTTCATGATCATGAAGAAGAATTTTAAGTCAGAGTATATTCAAGGTGTGGTTCACAACACTCTGAAGAGCTTCAACATGAACCAGAAACCTGCACAGCTCCTGGCTGTGTTAGTACTGCTGCATGTTTACTGCAAGGGTGCCTCTCTCTCTGTTTCTCTGTGTGAGGAATTTCTTGGCCTTCAACCAAAACCATTTTGTGGAACGATTAAAGTTGAAGATGGATTTGGGAAATTTTCCGCTTTCATTGCCGTCTGCTCAGTGGAGGGTAAGGTAGTATTCAAAGCTGTGAAAATCATCCATTCAAGTATTGCAAGCAACTGCTTGAAGGAGCTTACAAAAACACACAACGTGACGAAAGCTAATATTGCTGACTTTCTGCTGACCACAGACAAGCTTTATGAGTGCACACAAGGAAAAGACAATCTCCTGCAAGATGTTCACCACATTTTGGTAAAGAGACATTATTCAGCAGAAGAGGAGTGTAAGTTCTCTCCACTTATTCAAGGCATTGCAAGTGAAACGCCTGGACTGGAAGAGATGGTGCTAAAAAATGCATCAATAAGATTTGAGAGAGATGCAATTGTCTCTCAGTTACTGGCCAGGTACTATTACCTCACAAAGAAGGATTTCTCAGAGGCAAAATTTTGGGCAGACAAAGCAAAAGATCTTTCCAAAGACAGCTCCTATATTGCAGACACATTAGCACAAGTTATTAAGCATGAGCTGAGGAATGCCATTGCAAACTACAAGGAAGAGCCTATCAGTCCTGAAAGTCTGAGCACATCTCTCAAGCTGGCACAGTTAGCAATAGAAGCATTCAAGGAAGCACAGAGCCTTGCAAAAAAGGAGTCAGTTCAACGATTGCAAGTCAAAACAGACAACTGCCCTTTCAATACAGCAGGGTGTCTGGGAGAAATTCAGGTCGGAGTACTTGTCATTGACATGCTGGCGAAGACTCCCATATTTGCCTTTGACAATGTCCGCCATGACATAATGAGCCAGGTTCTCTCTGGAGATGTTAAGCTTCAGAACGTAGCAGCAAAAGATCCACGGAACAACAAAAACAGACCCTACTATGCCATTCTAAGACAGTTTGAGGATGTACTTTACAACCTCAAAGACAGGATGAAGGTGAACTTTGACTTCCTTGAAAACTTTTATGTGAATCTGGGCTCCAGATTTGGAATGAAAGACATCCGTGAACAAGTAGCCCAAAAGGAGCTTCTCAGATGTTTCATTGTGTATGCAAAGCTTTTCTGCAAGACGGATTCTGCATCTCAGTTGAGAAACAAAATGATGCATGACGCGCTGAAACTACACCAGTCAAAACAGTTCCTGGAGAAGGAAAAAGCAGATACCTATTCTGGGATTCTGAATTGTCTTTCAAATGACATCCCAACCGAAATGATGGAGAAGATTGCCAGACAGTATCTTTTTGTTTGTGCACCTGACCATAGCCCAACCACAAAAGAGAGAATCAACTTCATCTATGCCAATGTTGTGTTAAGTTGTATCAAACTGGAATCACAACAACTTCGGCCATACCAGGATGTAGTGAAGTTCCTCTGCCAAGTTCTGCGTGAGCAAATTCCATTAAATGACAGTTTGTCACTGTTCTTCATTGCAGTTGTGTTGTTGTGGCCACAGCTGTCCGGTCCAGATTGTAGAAATCTAGGAAGGTACATCTCACAGATGAAGACCGCTTATCACGCAGTGATGAAGGAAGTGTACAATGGCAAGAGTCCCATTGTCCATTTCCTCTTGGGGAAAAAGCAGGGCTACGAACGGCTGGTACCCATTAGGGAAATGAAAAAGTGCATCATGGTTGGTCAAGAACAGTTTGCTGCCATGTGGGGAAATGGCCAAATATGGAAAGAGAGGAAGGTGGAAGACCTCCTTTGCAGGGTCACAGGTGAGGTCAAGCGGGACTTCATACTGGCAGATACATGTTCCCCAGAACTGAAGGTCGAAGTTGCTCCAATGTATCGAAGTCAGATCAGTGGGTTCGCAGAGGGGTCAAAAGTGTCATTCTTCATTGGTTTCTCAATGAGAGGCCCTCTAGCTCTTGACATTGAGCTTAAACTTTAAAGAACATACTATATTTTAAGCTAAATATGACTCCACCAGGTTTATTCAAACTTGAATTACTTGTAGCTTATTGAGATGTTGTATTACATGTTTTGTGGTTATCCTTGTCACTGCACTTAACATTGTTGACACAGTTTTTTTCCTGAGAAAGGAGGAAAATAGGTCAGTAAAACTTAAATCAGGCCTCTTAAGCATGCTTTCTTTTGCACTCACTGTAGCTGTAGCTCACGGTTTTACTGTAAATAGGATATTTTTTATAAAATGAAAACTGCAAAGTTAACATAATGAAAGTGTCATTGAATGACTGATTAAATAATAGAATTTTGCAGTTATCTGCTGGATTATCAGAATAAATGTGATCTATGACCAATTTCATAATTCAGCTCTATGTATTAAAATAATCTGCCTTGTAAATTTTACAATACAATTACATTTGAATAAAACGGTGTGCTTGCATTGGTTCACAATATTTAGTAATGTATGTAATCCTGTGTGTTCCATTGATGATACAACTAATTTGTGTTAAGTAAGCTTTGAGTAGAAATTAAAAATAATCTTGTAAAAGCTTTTTTTTTTTTTTTTAAATCAATATAACATATATTTTATACAACAATAATAATCATTCACACACAGTGTCTAACTTCTAAATCACACTCTCTGACTTGTATGGAAAGGTTGATATTTGTGTTAGATTTTTGTTTTTTAGTACCTTATGAATGTATCTTAAGTTTGAAATGTCCTATTTTTTTTTTTTTATCTTTTAGCATTACATTTTATGTTACTTTTGTGATTTTGCTCAAACAGTCTGTTTTGTACTTTTGCATTCCACCAAAAGCAGCAATAAAAACTGAGTTCTGTAATACTTTCATTTTCTAATAAAGATGTACTGTCATGTTATTTGTAAGAATTTATTTTAAATTCCCTGCACAGACACACACAGATACATGTCAACATGCTGAAAATCACAAAAAATAAACTTTTGCTTAGCTTTCTAAATGTATGCATATTGCATGGATATTAATTTAGTTATAAAAAATAGTAAAAAAAGATATGTATATGCATTAAAAAAAAAAAATCAGTATTGCACACAAGAGGGCGCCATAAGGTCAGAAATGATAAAACATTCATTGACGGATTATGTGTTTAACAAGAGATAAGAGGTAAGCGATATAAAACTTAGTGATATGTTGTGCTCCAGTGTCACCAAAAATCATGGTAAGGATTCATCATGTCAAAGCAAAGAAGAAGTTGCTTTGGATTCTATGCCTCTGACACTAATCATATGAAATTAATGACTGCTTTAAACATGGACATAAAAATGGTTTTTAAACAGTATGTTTGAATGTAACATATGGCACCACTATGCTCATTATAGTTTTATCGTCTACAATTAATATGTATGCACATTCTGAAAGTAAATAAGTAAAAAAAGCTCTTCACAGGTTTCTGATCAATTTTAGAATCTTGTCCTTTCTGGTGCTCTTAAAAAGACAGATGGTTGTAAGTGAACCTACAGCTGGAGGAGGATTGTGCTTGCAAGAAAACAGTTCCATGGTCACCACACAGATAAACTCCCTAGTTGCTGGACAATACACAATGTAACTTACAGTGTCACCAGAGGCTTAAATTGCCAGCACGGTAATGGTGCCCTCTTTTATCTGTTTCTCATGTACCTACTACTGCTGCTGTATGCAGACTTGCGTGCACATGCTCCTGACGAGGTGCTGCAGATGCTGTGTTACCATGTGGGTCATGATGATAAGTGAGGTGTGGAGCCTGTTACTGAATATGCATCTTGCTTTTGTTTCTTGTCTCTGTGAGTGTAGGTCAGGTCTAGTTTGTGTCACACTGATGTCAGATCAGCAGATGGCTCAACAAGTGACAAATATCCATGAGAGATCGTATGCCTCACTTTAAGCAAAGACAATACAGAAACTAAAAACTCACAACAACATAGCACTAGACATCAAGTTCCACCATGGCATTTCTTTAATGAAGGCCTTAGTACGCCTGGATTTGAAGTCTTACAAAATGGTTATAACAGGCTAATTTGGCTCTGCAGTATGCAATGTTTCTGTCCGTCTGCCTTGTCAGCCAAGGTGGAGTGAGTCAAATGACAGCCCTAAGTATATGTGACCCAGCAACACATGGCTGAAAGCAATCTTCAAAGGGTCATCTTTTTGGGTCAAAAGGTCATTCTGGTGATAAGTGAATTCTTTCTATAGCATATTGTAGTGAAAGGGAGATGTATGACCACACATACAAGTAACTTCAGAAGAAGACAGAGATACACAGTATACCTCTGACTTTTTTCATATATAGATATATATATATGAAAAAAGTATGTGTATACACACACACACACACACACACACACACACATATATGTGTGTGTGTATGTATGTATTTTTTTGTTACTGTTGTGTGTTGACTTTGGTGACCAACAAATGAAACTCAGAGCTTCATTATGCTGAATAATGCTGTGCAAGTAGTAGTGTGTCACTGTGATTTGCTGCCACTCACACAAAAGTGAAACCTTTGGCACACAGGGTCAACAAGGTCCAAGTGACTGTGAAACAGTATGCGGCTGCTTATCCCTGTCAGAGAGCAGAGCTATTACATCTTCATAGTGAATGGTTTGGAAAAGTAAAAGCAATTTTTTTCATTAGAAAACATGTTTAAATTCCAGTGAAATTGAACAAATACTTTGAAGAGTACTAATCAGTTTAGCATGACACTCTTAGTACTATGTTAATATTGTCAGACTAATGCATAGTCAAAAATAGTTTCAATCAGTGTAGAAGAACCAAAGATATTCTGTGTTTTTACACTTCTTCAAACCTCTGACCTACATTACCCAAGATTCAACTCAACCACGAATTTGAGATCTTTTTTTTTTTTACACATGCAGCAGGGGCTGCAAGGTGGCACGGTTGGTAGCACTGTTGCCTCTCAGCAAGAAGGTGTCTCAGTGTCTCAGTGGGGGCACCAGGATCTTTCTGTGTGGAGTTTGCATGTTCTCCCCGTGCAGTGTGGGTTCTCTCCGGGTTCTCCGGCTTTCTCCCACACGGTCCAAAAACATATTGAGGTTAATTGGTGATTCTAAATTGTGTGAATGTGAGTGTGCTTGGTTGTCTGTCTGTAAGTGTAGCCCTGGGATAGACTGGCGACCTGTCCAGGGTGACTGGACAGGTCGTATGAAAGACTGTATGAGGAGATTCCCTGTCTTCTAATTTGTCATTCCAACTCTATAATTCATCATTAAAATGGTTTTAATTGAGGTAGTTGCTGCATTGCTTTGGCAGGCTTTGATTTGTAGCTATGATTCAGTAGATAGTTTTAAATTCTCCAGAAGTCCTGTGCTATGTCTGACCAGCACACCTCAGGAATAATCACTGACATGGTGCTAAAGCCCATTCTGTAACCAGAGCTAACCCTAACCAGAGCTGGCTTTCTCAGTGAAATAAATACTATAAAAAAAAAAAAAAACAATACTAGCAATTAAGTCTAGTCTGGTTATCCAAAGCCGTCAAATCCTGTGAGCAAATGTGTGTATCCAAAACCTGATATATCTCATTCCTCTGGCCATAGAGCTTTACTATTATCCAAAAAACAGAGAAAAACACTTCAGTAAGCCTCACTCTAAAAAGTAATTTAATGGACCTATTCCCACCTGTTAATTAAAAGCACAACTACAAGATACAAATTCAAATTTAATGTGCAAACAGTAGTTTGATGTTGATGTTGTCATAATAATGTTGTATCAACTTATTACTGTGTGTAACTTTTGTGTAATTTCCACTTTGGTTGATTTAAAGCTAAATTCAAATTGAAGTAACTTAATAAAACTGCTTGATAACTTCATTTTTCTTCCCCTTCAAGTCAGATTTTCAAGTCTTCTTCCCTGTCTGCTTACACTGTTGATATTTTTAATTTTAGAAACTTAAAAACTTGTGATCAAAGTTCTGGTTATTTAGTATAACCCTTTAAAATCAATTTAAATAATGTAGAAATACGAGTTGGAACAACTTAATTTTAATGACTTATAAACATGAAATAAAAATGTGTCTATACTACCAATCATTCAGTTCTTGGTAAATAAATACTTTTGATTGTAGAGGAAGAGCTAATTCCCCGTGTCAGTGTAGTTTGTTGGTTGAACATAATTTCACTGAAAGTTCTCCAGAAGCTCAAGAGGTTTTGATGCAAACTGTTGCATTTAAAAAATATATATTTTTAAATTTTTGCTGAGCCCAAACATTGTTTTTAAGAGTCTCGTACTTTCTCCCCTGTGGAGAGTGTATCAGGCTGTTCAACACTAATCTCAGCTCACAGTTCAGTTTGACTAAGGCCTTTGTTGTGTGTGTGTGTGTGTGTGTGTGCATTTGGGGGATCTCTTTTCTCTCTCTCTCTCTATCTTTGGCAGCCTGATGAAGTTTTTATTTTTGATGAACTGAAAAGCTTGTGTGTTCCTTCAGTGGTCAGTGGGGATGAAAATGATCCTGATCATCTTGCACCATTCTGCCATAAAATGCAGCTGTCCACTCTACATTAACACATCTGTGAAAAGTTGAGCTGGCTGAAAATTGGAAGAAAAACTTACGGTCAACTGTGCCATCACAGATTTCGGCCTCACAAATGCTTTTCCCTCCACAGTAGTGCTTCCTATTTACGATACATTATTGAAACCATCATAAACTGGGTTTAGAGGATTGGAATAAACATTTTTGTGGCTCACTTTTGGAAACTTTGGATAGTATACAACAGTGAGCCATAAATTGAACACCCTTGCTTCATGAATAATGTCATCCAAGTTATAATAATCACAGATTTTAGTATATGGGTTTACAGAACAGTTTCCCACAACCCCCCAGCAGCAGTTCTCATCCAACCTAACGTACAGGACCTTGTTGACCTTGCTCCCAAAGTCCACTGCCACCCATCCCAACCTCCCATCTCTGTCTGCTAGCTTTGAATTATAACCTTTGCACACTGGAGGGAGCACAATGTGACGATTGTGATTGTATTTTAATTCTAATGGAGAAGTGAAAAAAGATAGCTTCCTCTGAGAATGGACTAGATTTATGGGCCCTGTCCTGGCCGCTGGCCCCACATCCTCTCTGATCTGCTTTTACTCCGGCGACCCCTCGACCCTCGGGGGTCATTAGAGAGCCCCCGAATGGTCCGGCTGGCCGCCAGCCCATCTCACACTGCTTGTTTTCCAATCAAATCACTATATTTAACGGGGACACGAGTCCAGGGCCAAGTCCAAACAGACATCTGTTTGAAATTGCTCCTCGCAATTATTTCACACAGAAGTTCTCCCTCTGTGCCCCCCTTCCGCACTCCTCGCCCCACTTTGGTCTTTTGTTTGTTGTTGTTTGTTTTCAGAAAAACCTCCCCCTCTGGATTGCTAATGGATAGAAATGAGTGGGGGAAGTGGGGGGACTTTCAGGGCTGGGAAGCGCGGTGGTGGTGGTGGGGGTCTGGCTCCTGGAACCGCTGTCACACAGAAATGCAGCCAGAGGAGAATAGCAAAACCAGCGAGGGCTTTTTGATTCAGCACAAAGCAGGTTTTTTACTCTGAACAGGGAACAGCTTTTACACTCAGAGGCCTGTACTGCTGCCAGCTCACATGACGTCTGCATCAAGACTGTCACTCAGCGGCAGCATGGATTTATAAACATGCTAATCCCATACAGGAAAATGCACTTATTACTTTGATTATTTCTTATACTTTCTGGTTACAAATGTTTTAATTAAGAATGCAAGCTCCAAGTGGTTTTAGGCGTCATTGGCAAGTAAAGAAAGTTATCTGGTCTACCTTGCATAACCAGTTGATAAGCTCATGAAATTCCATGTTTCATAGAAAATTATATGCTTTCATAAAAACTGAA